CAGGACATGGCTTTAAGAGTCAAAACTTGGGGTCTATCTACTTCGATCACATCGATTTTTCTTTGTCGGCCGTGTGATCTTGGCAAACAAACAAGATAACAAATTCCAACCAAAACTCCATCTCTAAAGCTCTGCACTACATGCCAAAGCCTCAAGATAGACAATCAGGGAGCTCATTGCAAACACAAATCCACAAGATCCATGGAGCTTGTCCATATTGATATTTACGGGCTGATGTCCATGCACTATCTCTTGAGATGAAGGTATATCTTGACCATCATTGATGATTTCAGCAAAATTTTGAAGCTTGTGGGCTAAAGCTATTGCAACCACCAAGTATGTCATCAACATGATACCTACGCAAGCAAATGCCGGTGAAACTCCATACTACAAGCTCACAGGTGTCACTCCCAACATAAAACATCTGTGAGTTTTTTGTTGCAAAACTTCAGTTCTTGATATCTATCCAGCTAGGAAGAAATAGGCTCCTCGCGCTAATGAGAGGCACTTTTTTTAGCTGTGATACAACTTCCACGAAGTATCGCAATTACCACTAAAAGACTAGACAGATCCTAATATCGAAGGACATGCGTTTTGATGAAAGCTTCTTTTCGCTACTCATCTCCACTTCAACGTTGATCAAATCTGCACTAGAAAATTGGCCTGAGATGATTGATGATCCTATAGCGGCACTATCACTTCCATGCACTCCATGTGCTCCACCGAGTCATCAAATCATCGACCCATCAATTTGACAAGCCAAAATTGATTTGATGCATATCATTGACAAGATTGCTTCATCATTGATAAATCGTGGTACTATTGACCTGCCATCACCTTCACAACATGATGTTTCGAGTGCATTGTCTCCTTAAGGACAGATACAGTTGGGTGATTTTTAATTTGATGGCTCAACTTCAATTGGTGATTTTTCAGTGCAACCATAAGTGTGCCCTGATTCGTCTAATCAAGCTTAACTTCCGCTTCACATCTACCACCCCACGCAAGTTTCATCATCCTCATAACTGCCATGGATTGCGCGCTCCAGAAAGCCTCAGGTTCACCTCATGGACTTCTATCTCAATGCTACTGAGGTTGAACAACTTGGACATGATTTGCCTAACTCCACACAAGAAGCGATGGGTCATCCTGATTGGCGAGCAGCACTGGTAGACGAACTTAGTTCAATCTTTAAAAATGACACTTGGGATCAGCTGTCGTTGCTTCATGATCGAAAGGCGATTTTGACCAAGTGGATCTTTAGAGTCAAGCACAACGAGGACGTAACTATTGCCAAGTTTAAAGCCAAATTGGTGGCCAGGGAATTTCAGCCGCGTGAAGATCATGACTACACTGAGACATTCGCATCGGTTGTGAAATGGAATACGTTGCGAAGCGTCGTATCATTGGTTGGTCATCAAGGTTGGACAATTGTTCAATTGGATGTCAAAATTGCCTTCCTCAAGAAAGACATACTAGAATTTATGTGAAGCCATCCCATGAATTTGAATACTTGACTCATCCTCACCACTCTTGCAAGTGAAGAAGTCTCTGTACGATTTGAAGCATGCTCCACGTGCATGGTACCGAAAGTTGACGACTACTTGACTGGTCAAGGCTTACAAAAGTCTAGAGCGGACCAGAGTCTCTATTTCCACGAGGAGAACGACGATTTCACGTTACTTGTACTCTATGTGGATCACGTCTATTTAACGAAAAACAACCTTCTTCACATTGCACGACTTTGGAAAGAGATTCAAACCGCTTTCGATATGACCGAACTGGTCACCTCATCGTACTCCTCGAGAATTGAGTTTTTATTAAGCCCTTATAGCATCCGTTTCACACAACTCCAGTATATCAAGTCTATGCTTGCTAACTTTAGACTTAGTGAGTGTCGCCATGTAGCAACATCTATGATTGAGAAGACTCATCTGCTACCACACATGAGAACGCCACATGCCAACTCATTGCTTTACCAGACGTTGGTTGGCAAACTCATTTTTCTTGACACATACAATGTTACATATTGCTTATGTCGTAAGCATCATTAACAAGTTTATGGCTGGCCTGTAGTAGATCCACGCCCAAGTAGTAAAACATATCTATTGGTATCTCAAGAAATCTGCAAACTTTGCACTGAGCTACTGGCGAGAGAAGGTAAACAATCTGCTTGGCTACATCAATGCTGACAAGGTAGTCGACGCATATGATAGAAAATCCATCACTTGATATCTATTTCTATCGGGGAGCACCCCTGTCACAAGAAATAGCAAAAAGCAACCTACCATTGCTCTCTTATCAACTAAGGCCAAATACATGGCGATCATCGAAGGCATCAAAGAAGCTTTGTGGTTAAGGAGACTATTTGGAGAGCTGGAAATCCAAGATTTGAAGAAACCGACAAATTTGTTCAAATCACTTAGACAATCAAGGTTGCCTCAATTTAGCTCACAATCCGGTTTATCACGGACACACAAAACACATTGAGGTAAAGCATCATATCATTGGAGAAAAGATTGTTTCCAATGTAATCTATTTAGAATATGTTTCTACTGCTAAACAGCTAGTTGATATTTTAGTTAAAGCCTTAGGGAAAATAGCCTTCAAACAACTCAGCAAACTACTAGGGTTGATTGTTCTAGCTACTTAAGTCTCATGCTCCAACTTCAATTTCTAATACTCAGGAGTAGAATCAACACGATGCTCATCAAAGCAGGCCAAACCTCCTCACAAACAACTTCATCCGGCAACAATGGAATGAGAGATTTGAATGTACTCTCCATCTTCAAAGAAGTCGGAGCATCATGAATGGAGTTGCTAATTGTACTACCATCAAGAAAAGCTCCCTTTGATTGTTTGGACTTCGTTCTACACCTCTAGAGGTAGAACCAAAATGATTGCCATAGAGTTAAGTCATTGATTATTGATTTACAGAAAGTTTGCAGCTTCTCTTCATCAGAGTTCAACATAACTACTTGAGAACTAAAGAATAGTTCTTTAACATGAATCATCTCAAGTTCGGAGCGAAGGAGGGGTGTTGATACATGAATTCTAATAGTGTTGGAACTCGCATTGTGAAGATAGAGGAGATAGTATGGTAATAGAATCAAGTTACAGAGTTAACAATCTAACATCTATCGGGGCAAGGCAAATGACGCTTTAGGTTAATGAGCCGCCCGTTAGGGTGACCGCGCTGCACGATATCCCTTGGCGACCTCTGATTGCATGTATTGCATGGTACTGTTTTCAATAACAAAAACTATTTGTGTAAAGTGACTGCTTGTTAACACGATTCTCTATATCAAGTTATATCTGTGAAAAATTCTTGATGAAGTTGATCAAATAATTTTCACACATAATTTATTTTTTGTAAGATCTTGTTGAAATTGATCAAATAATTTTCATGTTGAGTTATTCCTCTATAAAATTGATCAAAATGTTTGTCTTGGGTTCTTGTAAGCAATGATGCCTAATCTTGACTAATGTCATTAGAGATTTGTGACTAATTTGCTTCAAAGTAGACACAAATAAACATATGACTACTCTACATAGGCCTTAATATCATAGATATATATATATGATTATTTTAATTAGAAAAAAATTTACATATAGACTAATAAAAAAACAATGTTTGTTATAAGATCAAATTATTTTGATAATTTGTTGTCAACAAATCATTAATGAATAATGTATGGTGAATGAACTTTAAACATATTAAAAACTAAATTAATTGATCCACATAAAACTAACAATGAATTCAATAGATTTTTTTTCCTAAAATATAAATAAGCAGGAATAGCAACTCAACATATTTTCCATAAATTAGTATTAAATTACACTCCACGTGTATGTACTTACTTATACATACATATGTATGGAGTGTATTTTAATACACACCATACGTATACATATGCATAAGCTACGTCACCGTTTGGTGAGTACGCTTTTACCGTAAGACCTAATGCTGCAAATAATACATCCTCAATGTTTAATCAGAATTATATACTAAACCAGAATAACATTAGTACCTGATAGATGCCCCGCTCACATGCTTCGAAACCTCTTCTTCTTCCGTCCTGGAGGAAGACGTTTCTAAGTACATGACGGTACTCACTCAGGCACGTCGAAGGGAAGAATTCCTTCTCAGTCCTTCTGCACTATTTCATCGAAACATGTACTTGGCACTATTTCATGGCATATTGTACTTGGCAATAACCAGGAGGTGGTGACTGACCAGAGCTTACCCATAAATTTTCCAATTAAATCATATGTTCTGCTCGGCACTTAGTTTTACCTTCCAGGATATGAACAGAACCTCGCTACAGGGTCAGAACAAACACAATCACGTTCGCCCGGCGTGTCTATGCATACAACAGACCATCATAGAACTCACAGTGAAGAAAAAATGATGCCCACGAGCACCACAAACATTCCCGAGAAGCGGGACGCTGTCTCCTGACCGACGCCAAATTCCATTGCTGGTTTCGTGCCAATTAATCTGGATGAGCTTTGCCCGGTCCTGAGTCGGGACGGGACTCCGTAGGGACAGGCGCTGTTGGAGTCACGGGACAGGTCCGCAGCGCGGACAGGCAAAATATCGAAGCTACCATGGACAGCGTGGACGGAAGGCCATGGATGGATGGATGGATAGATAGATGGATGGATGGCAGGTGATAAGAAGCCGCCGGAGTTTCGGCGGGACACGTAGAGCAAAGCGAGCGCGGAAGAAAGTGTTTCGGAAGGCGTGTGACCCAGAGAGGACCACGTCTCATTGGCGGAGCATGGATGGAAGGAATGCCGGACGCGGAAGGCGGAGATGGACAGAAGTCGAGAGAAGCGAAGATTCTCTCGCGGGTCAACCGAGATTCTCCGTCGTCCGCGCGCCGTTCGAGGGATGGGCCGTCGCCGTCGAAGGGAAGGGCTGGGCTTGGCTTGGCTTGCCAGTGGGCAGGCGCTGTTTAGGATGACGAGAAGCGCCAGGCGCTCATCTGCTGCCGTCGCTTCCGAGAGCCCCATCAGAGAGAGGCCCTCGTACTCCGCGGAGACAGGCGAATTTCTGTGCCGCAGTCGATGTTGCGCTTCGATTCTCCGCGACGCGAAGATGGGATGCCTTCGGGTTGCGAGCACCTGCAATCCATCGTGCGTCTCGGAATTCGTGCACCGATTCGACGACGCCCTGTTTCGTAGGAAGTCAGGCGAAGGGCTCGGGTTGCTGTTGTTCATGGGTATGAATGCGCAGGCTGGCGTCGAGGATAAGAGTTTCCTTGTAACGATGCGAAGCTCGTGGTCTGGATAACGCGAAGGCTCAGACAGGATTCGGAGGGCGGGAGTCTCTGATATGTAAGGGGCAGAAACGTGGGGACGAGCAGATAAGCCCAGAAATGCTTGCGTTATCAGAGAGTTTTACCAGGTGCACCCTCTTGCCTCATGTTTCTAGAATTTTCGTTCGCCGGGGTGAGAAGTGAGAAAGCTGGAGTACACGGCAAATTGCCCAGAGGCTGGGTGACTGGTTGGAGGCGTAGTGAAATTGCGGGACGATATGTTCGAGGAATTCTGCCCTTTTCACCAAGTGATAAATGAGCACTATGTAGGAGCACGAAGGTTTCCGTGTGGGATTGCATTGGCATCATCTCAGAAGGGTTTAATGCTACAATGATAGCGTACACGAAAACCCTCTTTTGGATGGAGGGTTTAGGTAGTACAGATTTGACACAGATAGATAAAACACAGACCGTCTGTGTTTTATTGCGAGTTACTCGATATTTGCATCTTCCGAAGTCCGTAGTGAGTAGAAAGAATACGCACATTCGGAGTCGGAGTCGGAGAAGGCATTAACATTGTGCTGAGAAGCCGAGGTTGAGAATTTAGCTTTCTGGTTTGCTCGTTCCTCTTCCTCAAATTCAGCATTGTAATAAATTACGTCATGTTTTGTGCAGGTCGGTCTTGGACATCTCGACATCTTGCACCCCTGGAATTGCGCGAAGTGGTTTTCCCCTTTCGTTTTGTCATCTCAAGCTCAAACCTAAGAAGCGACCCCGCCTGTCTGTCAGGCCTCACGTCAATGCCACAAGCTGTGGGTGGGATGGAAGAGGATTTCTTCAATTGCACTAACGGGAGAGCTGTTACTTGGACTGTTCGCAAGACGACATGACTCTTCTAGAACGTGCTCTGTTCATACCAGAGCCTCCTCCCTCTTAGCTCATGGAAGTAGACCTGCTGTCAAGCTGTCTGTAGATACTAGTGACACCGGTTTAGGGCCTTCGTATCGAAACCAGATGCAGACGTCCAGCAGTCAGTTCAGCACACTGTTGAAGCTGCACAACAAATATGGGAAGCGGAAGATGATGAAAGTGTCGGAGAGAGAGAGAAACTGCGGCGCCAAAGGATTGTCTTGGCTAGTAAGGGGAAGGTGTCTTGGAATAAGGGCAGGCAACACAGTCCAGGTGAGTGCCCTTGCAAATTCCTGAAAACATCTCTTACCTGGATTCAGCTGTCCAGCTGTCGAGGCACTTTGCAATATACCGCAGTTACTTACTACTGTATCACCCTCATCAAGGCTGTGGGTTAGAAAACATTCTCAGTCTGAGTGTATTGCATCATGCCCTTCTCGAGTTGCTGTGTATTTGCTAGTCCTTAATATATTCTTGGGCGTGCAGAGACTATTGCCGAGGTACGCAGAGCGAAACACTCTTCACTTTATTTCAGGTTTCTTTCAGAAAGATTTGACAACCGAGGTACGCAGAGCGAAACACTCTTCACGCAGAGCGGAACACTCTTCACTTTATTTCAGGTTTCTTTCAGAAAGATTTGAAACACTCTTCACGCAGAGCGGAACACTCTTCACTTTATTTCAGGTTTCTTTCAGAAAGATTTGACAACTGAGGTATGTGTCCTAGTCCCGCGATCAGCTGTGTTATAAATTACTAAAACTCGAGGATGTCGGGAACTAAATTTCAGATAATTCATTTTCAAGAATAGTAATTTTTAGTCTAGTTACTCTGTGGGAAATTTTAGACAGGTATCTAATATAAATCATTTAGATAACCGAAATAAATCCTAGTAATAGCAAGATAGAATTATAACATGAAAAAATAAAAAAGTAAAAACTATTTGACATAGAGAGAATAAAAATTTTGTTTTCTATATAAATATTTTGCAGGAAATTCATGTTAAAATTTATTATAAGATTTTTTTTCACACGAGAATTAATCTGCAAACATTAAATTATAGATGTAGATTTATAAAAAGAAAACTGAAGATACTATGTAGACAAATTTGAACTCTACTCTTCATGTACAACTTGCATAATTGTGTATTGTCAATTGAAATTCTCCAAAAATATAATTTAGATCAGTTCATTAGCTAGATTAAAATATCAACTAAATTAATTCAATCATCATAATTTACATTGAAGATGTATCTATTCAATTAACAGAGTCTATCTTCATTAGTACAATTTTCAAAATTTATTGTCAATCTAGAGAAGTGTAATGATAAATTTTTTTTTGATAATTTTGTTTAATTTAATTACTAAAATTTATTTTCAGTTTTATTTGAATTATCGAAATTTATTGTCAATTTTGTCAAAATTGAATAATAATATCACCATAGTCCATCATCCATCATCCATTTTGTCTAATGTAATCATTTTGTCAAATGCTTGTCTTATAAAAACATTACTATTGTATCACAAATCATTTGTATCGAATATATCTTGGTCATTAATAATACAATGAATAAACTTTCACACAATTATATTCATGAACAAAATTTTTCATTTGTTAGATTAAAGATATTGGATTAGCTTTGAATTAAAGTGGACTTCCTTTGGTGTTTATGAACATGGAGTTCATGCTAGAGATTGTTGAATTGCACACTTTGTTGTACAATTTTGACTCACAAATTTCTGTTCAACTGAACTATCTCCGAGCTAAACACAAACAAGCTTGTTTATTCTTGTAAGTATTTGAAAACTTTTTCTCTTATAGATGTCGAAATTGGCAAGATTGATTTCCTCCATATCATCACATATAACCGATGTAGTAAATCCAACCAACTAGCATCTAACATTCTCATCTCAAGTTAAATATATACAAAACAACCTTCTCAACTGAATTTATCTATATATTCAAAGATGAAGATAGTACTTAGCTTTCTCTACAGGCGATCATCACATCATGATCACTCTCCTCGCATGTCATCCAACTATACTCCTTGATGCCTTGGAAAAGATGATCAAGCATTACAGATATAACTTCCACAATATTTTAGCTATTCAACAAAGCGTCAATTTTATCTTGAAGTGTGCAACCATCTCCTTCTTGACAGCTTTCATCCACTTCCAAACACCAAAATGTATATCTTGAATAATAATCACCTGTAAGAGCAGAGCTATCTGTTCCTCCGCGATTTGAAGTCGTCATTTCATGTAAGTTCTCATCCTTTGTACGTGTTGGATATTTGTTGTGAAATTTCCCCAAGATTTGATATAAATTTTGCAATCATCCGCATGTGTTTCAACAGATGAGATCGCCGGATCAAATATCCTCGAAACTAATGCAGACCTCAAAGTAGCAGAGTGATTAAATTTTGGTGCAAAACGTCACCTCCTCACAAGGTGGACGTGACAAGACTAAAACCTAAATTCTCTAGTGGGAAGTACATAGAGCCAAGCTGACCGCCCTTACATGAATGTATGCATCTATGAATCTTTTGAAAATCTTCATAATCAAACAACAAAGACAAGAAAAATTTTTCCCCGAATATTCATCTACTAGAACTTTATCTGTCACAATCATGTTCATAGTCATCAGAAAACTGTCAATGTCAAAATTCAGTCATCTTTCTACATCTTGTTCCAATTGTGACCAGTAAAGTTCAAGAAAACATTAAAACACTCATGAGAAATATATGTAATGTGGTATACACTCGGGGAGGAGAGCTACGTCTACCAAACACTCTTCTATTTATTCAACCCCAAGGTATTTATTTCCAGGCGATCGTCTTAACTATTTATAACTAAGAACCGAACTATTGATAACTAAGAACCGATCGTTCTAACTATTCATTACTGAGAACCGAATGCCTTCCTTAATTGAAGTTAACTTCAACACTTTTGACTATTTCAAAGTACAATTTGAAACTGTGAATATAAATTATCATTTCATCTTTATATTTACTTTATCGTAATTTGATCTTGCATACTTTGGCTATAAAAAACTAAGAGAAAAAAATCTATGTAATCAAAATTAAATTCATAAATTTTCATATATTAATATGCTAAATGATTTGTATTTTTTTAAATAGAAAAAATAGATAAAAACAATATTTTAATTTTAGAACATAAATGATTATTTGTTACCATGGATAAAGTCAAATATTACAGGTGTAAAAATGAAAATATTATATTACAAATATGAGGATTAGTGAATATTTAGTCATTCACAACACTTACATTTTGAAACATATTATAAATTGTATTTGATAGATTATTTTTCAATTTTTTAAATAAATATAAATAAAAACTATAATTTTCATAATCACAATAAATAAATTCATGAATTGTAAACTAAATTATTTACTTATTTCAAATAGATAATTAAATTTATTTATTATTATCAAATTTATATACTATACTGCTACATATATACAAAAAATATAATTAAATATTTATTTTAACATTATTATATTTATTTTTTTATGAAAAAAATAAAATTATATATATTTGTTAAAACTAATAAAAAATATTTATTTTATAAGTATTTTTATAAAAAATAAAAAATATCGTAATTAATAAAAATGTGTTGCAATAATTTTTTAAAATAAACAATCAAACAGATTTTCAAATTTCATTTTGTTTTCTCAATAAATTACACAATTATTAACATAAATCTTTACTTTATGTCAATTTAAATCCAATTAAACTATTATATATGTTTTTTAAGTTGGTAGTTTTTAGATTCATCTGCATTCTTTTGCAATTTAAAATATTAAAAACCATTTTCATATGTTTTGAAATTTGTTATTTTTTTTATCTGTCTAACAATTATCATAATAACATGATTTTTTAAAAATTAGTTATTGAGTTTTTTTAAAAAGAAAGTGATAAAAATGAAAATTTTTTTGCAACTCTTAAACTCAATAACACTTTCTATTAAATTTATCTTATAATATAATTATATTGTATACATAATACAAAAACGAGCATCAAATTTTATTTTAGTTTTCACATACAAGATGCTCATAATGATTTATTCTCATTATTATATTTATCACATGTGTTGCTATTTAAATAAAATATTTAAAAAATCCATGATTTAATTTTTTATTTCCATCACATTTGTTAAATTATTTGATTAATTTTTGGGAAATTTTTTGTCTCAAATTTACTACAAATTTTTGTTTAGCTATGTTATATTTAATTCAAGTTTTACTCAATTTTTTTTTTGAAATTTTTTGTATCAAACTAATAATCATATCATTTTTATTCAACAAATTTATCCATTAGTCTGTTTTACTCAGATAAAAATTAATTTATAGAAAAATAACAATCATAATTATATTAAATGAAGGCATATAAAAACATAGTTCTAGATGTTCAAAATCAAATATTGAGACAAATTTTATTATTATTTTAAATCCAATTATATTTTCATAATTTCATATGCAATACTATACATATAGTTCAGTAAATATGATCATTGAATTTTGTACTGAAGTTAAATTTCATTATTGAAGTTGGTAAAAAACAAGACATTTAACTATTTCCAAAAAATTATTACTTTATGTTATTGAGCGAAGTAGATCCATTTTGTTGGTGCCAGATGTACATTGTGTCACATGAGTTATAACACAATCCACAAAGTAACACATCTACTGTGTTAACTTGTTAGAATTCCTAAAACTCTAAAATTCTATGAACTATAGACCGTCAGCTTCTAACATGAAAGATGATGATGTACCAAGTTCAATCCCCACATAATTTGGTCATGAAAGTCTAGTTGTAATTCTCGTCATGAGAAAACACCAATGTTTTGTCTCAAGCATTGATGTTCAATCTCATCTTTGAAAAGTGTGAAAAATTATCTTGACTTTTTCATTGCAAGTGCCACAAGCTTCAACAAATAAAAAAAAATAGATTTTTTTTTTTTTTTTTGCATAACAACTGATTTTATGAAACCTATTAAAAGTGGTCAAAGGAAAATTTGCATTTTTTAACAATTGATTACAGTGTAACAACAAGTTTTACACTGATTATTTTTCAAATTTTTTTAATACTAGTGTTCAAGATGATATAAGATAAAAAATATAATCTATCATTCATGATATAAGAAAAAAAAATCTATAATTATTGTGAATAAAGTAATTCAATATATGTAAATTGATTTGTAAAATTCTACAATTTGATATAAAACATATAAATTATAATTAAAACCAATAATTATAATTTTTTTTATAGAATAAAAAAATCACATCTTTTAAATTTTATATAAATGATTAAAAAATAGAGAAATATTCAAAAAAATAAAATAATTAATGAAATATACTATAATCATCTTTAGTTAGTTAAAACTAAAGTAGAATTTTATCAAAATATTTATAAAATTATTATAGCGCGCACAAATTATAACTGCCACGTAAGCGATCCGCGTGTTTGGTAGTTAGAGAGTAAATGTGTTAGATGAGAGCATCATGTGAGCAATCCGTGTGATTGTTGATGTTATCCGCCACGTAATACATCCAGTAGGAGTGGTATGGATGATAATAATAAGATCTTATCTCACTGTACTTGTTGGTAAAACTATATAAAAAAAAAAAAAACTATTGCTTGTATCTTTCATCTTCACAATTTATATTTCTATATTCAAGTGAGCTTCTCTCTAAAATTTAGTGTTATATAAACAAAAATAAATAAATTTA